TTATCAGCGATCTGAATATAGTAGAAGCATGTATTAGCTTTTGTAATACATGGCGTAATCAGCGATCTGAATATAGTAGAAGCATGTATCAGCTATTGTAATATATAGTAGAAGCATGTATCAGCTATTGTAATATATAGTAGAAGCATGTATTAGCTATTGTAATACATGGCGTTATCAGCGATCTGAATATAGTAGAAGCATGTATTAGCTTTTGTAATACATGGCGTAATCAGCGATCTGAATATAGTAGAAGCATATATTAGCTATTGTAATACAGGGCGTAATCAGCGATCTGAATATAGTAGAAGCATGTAATAGCTATTGTGATACATGGCGTAATCAGCGATCTGAATATAGTAGAAGCATGTATTAGCTATTGTAATACATGGCGTTATAAGCGATCTGAATATAGTAAAGCATGTATTGGCTATTGTAATAAACCGACATACTGGGGAGATCATGTTAAGGTACTTATGACACGGGAAAATAAGCATCTTTTAACTAGTGTAGGATATGATAGGTGCCACTTGATCTTTAAATGATAGTCGTAGCCACCCTCTCTATCTGGCAAGCGAGAGATGTAAATGTAATTGGTACGAACTTTAGAAGATGTGCATACTGCACACATAACGGGATATTTCGTGCGCCGAAGCAGAGGAACACAAACTGCACCCTACAAACTGACGCTTAATCAGTTGCATAACCAGTGTAAGAGTACTGGGCGAGCCGGTCAATTGCGTGAGCACGAGAATCACAACACAGAAAACTCCAAACAACCGCACCGTACGACTGCAAAACAACAACAACGAACAATGGTGTGCACATGATGGAAGCACAGCACAAATACACAACGCCAACTAGCCCTGTTGGGAATGGAAGCTCATCTTTTCCGGTTCCATTGTCGTACGAGTTCACAGACAGATTTGACAAGCTCGTATGTAGCCATATAGTACTAATCCATATATATATATATATATATGTATAGCAATAAATTTGAATATAACAAAATCATTTAAATAATATATACGTATATAAAATACAAAAAAATACTTATATAAATTCGTAATATCCATTCAGATCATATAAAAATATCTCACGTTTTATATGCAAAGCACTGCTCCCGTATGAAGACCAGTCGAGCCTGTCAAAGAACAAGGTGCACATATGGCGTATAGTGATCAGGCAGACTTGTACATACCAAAAGAGTGAGGACAAACATAACGCAATTGATTCGGTTGTTATCGGCTGCATTGCGAATGCGTCTACATAACCCAGCTGGTTCTTCACCGGCGGTTCTGTTACCCATGCCCCACAGGGGGTTGAAAGCCATGGTGGCGGCAATCTCAATGATAGTCAAAATCAAAGCCCAGGCAACTGTGAGAAAGCAGAAAAGACAAGCAGAAAAAGAGAAACTTTGTTAGATTTCGACCTATACGCGAACCAATTCGTCAACAACTATCGTAAAAATGACAAACGAATAAGCATGAAGAAGCGAGACTAACTAGATAAACAATAGGGCATTAACAGCAACACAATTACAGACTTTCTCGATAACATGGGAGAGCTAGCTTATGACAAACTAGCTTATAAGAGACTTGAAGATGGGCACAAAGCAATACTACACCAGTGTTCGAAATCATATAGTATCAGCCAAATAAATTATAAGGACACGACATACTGTTATATCAGAAAGAAGTGCAAAACGCATAGTTGTCACCAAGTAGATAAAATCAACCAAATTCTTTGGAACGGTATTATTCAATCACCGCTACTTAACAGTGAGTGAGCTTTGCACTTCGGAACGCTACCTAGTTGTCTGCGATTCGGATGAGAATATAAAAAGTAAAGGAGTGCAAACTAGAGACCAGATGTAATCAAAAACTTGTAAACGTACCTGTGTATGTAGCGTAACGCATCTCGAAAGAAAGCATGGCTGGCGCCACCTCCTTGATGCTGTCTGCAATTGTGGATCCCATAGTTGAAATTTCGATTATGTGAGTGACTGAGTGCTAGTGGTATGTGTATGACTGTATGTATTGTGTTCATTATGAGTTTGCAATTTTCATATGTATACACCTCCTGCCGCCGGCGGACCCGGGACGATCTGTGTATACATTTAACAGAGTCAAAATTCCAAGGGTGTTCCAATCAAAATCACAGGCTCCAATCATCTGGAACATCTGCACGTCTGCAGCGCTGAGCGCGCTGTATTCGTCTTGTGTGTTGGTACTATTATTGTTGTGTATGAAAAAAACCCGACATTTGTTGTCCCAATTTTTAAGTTTTTAACCCCCTCTGTAGAGTTGAAGCGATACCAACGGTGTTTTTGTTTTTTAGAGGGCCATGCATTTTGCAGTGGCATCGCCAGACGTCAGTCAGCCGGCGCCACTGACTGTGATTGGCACCGTCATATTCTTATTTACACAGATTTCACACGCGCAGAGCCGCAGATGGTCAGATCTTCGTAGACAATTCTATAAATAGATATCCGATTGAGACGTTGTCATTTATCTAAAGTCATGGCCTGTGAGGCTGTGTGTGTGGGCCTGTGGGTAGGGTGGGCAGGTCTCATAGCGTAAAACGTGAAAACGTAGTACGTTTACGGTAGAATGAGAATATAAAAAACTAGGTTTATATTTTTAGTTTTTCCGATAATACGACATGGACATGATTATTTACCGTGGAGGTAGACTTGTGTATTTATGTCGTATTGTACTGTATGTACTTTGAAGTTTGAATTAAATCCCACTAGTCTATTACAAATTCAATTCTCTATAAATAGCTGAAAATTCAGCCACATTTCGGGAGGGCTTGCAGAGGCATTAACATGTTTTTGGTCATCACGCTCATCCTCACAGGTCAGAGTTAATAGAGATATTAGAGTTGATTTGGAACGGATTAGAGAGGACGACTTGGAACAGCGATTTTTTGCTTTATGATAAGTAGCCGTATTTCTAGATGTCAGGATTTCTTTGAGAGATTTCTTTTTTTTGTAGACATGTGTTTCCTTTGTATTTGTAGCATTTATTTGCACACAGAATATGAATTCCGGAAAGACGAGGATACAATGAGAGAAATTCAGAAGCGGATCCGCTGCCAGCGAGAAGTACTGTATGAAAACCCTCCAATCTAGTAACAATTGTTGTTGACGCGCACGCCAGCTTGCAGCTTGCAGCCCTATGTTACGCACCTTCGGTCGATATGTGAACTTTTGCGTATCTTGCCACACACGTTGCCCTGTGCCCTGGCTCCTCTGTAGTATCTTTTACTACATTTTTCCCCTATCAAATTTATAAATGAAAACAATGCAAACTAAAATTGATATTTTATTTAAAGTTTGAAGTTCTACATCTACTGGCCTTTATTTTCAAATATGTAGTTCTTTAAACTTTTGAAGTCCTACATCTGGCCTTTCTTATTATGTAGAACAACACTGGTAAATAAATACAACGCAAACTACAAAGGTTGGTGTACTTTGAACTTTTGAAGTCCTACATCTAGCCTTTATTAATATGTAGAATAACACTGCTTGAAGGATGTTAACGGTACAGTAGATATGTACAAATCTATGAAGCAACGACCAAGGATTCGCAGTAATACTACACACTGCCAACGATTCGCTCAACAGCGTCATACTACAATGACACCCGAAAGCATAAAATACATATATATATATATATATATATATATATATAGCAGATGGTCCTCGTGTACTCGACAAGCTAGTAGTCTAACTATAAAGATGTACACCATGTATTTCACTCGATATGCACACGCACAAAGGATATGCACCAGCTGTCCAGGATACTATATATTCAAAGGAAAGCTGGTGCATTGATAGACATCTCGTGCATTATATATA